TTGAGAACATAGTTTTTAATATAGTTAATATATTTTGATAACATAAAAATTTTTTTGAATATAGTAAAATTTTATAATAAGAACATAAATTTAAAATTTTATGTTTTCTAAAAACAAGAATTTTTTTTTTAGATTTCCTTCACTGGGGATGACGTTAACCAAAGTTTTAAATTTGAAGAACCTTTTCCCTAATTGTCCTACTATTTTTATTGTTGATTTTTTTTTTTTTTTTTTTTTTAGAAAAAATATTTGCTGACCCGACTAGATTTGTTGTGCTTATCACGCAACCAAATCAAAAAAGCAATTTACAGTTTCAAATTAAAGTACATAGGGCTCCGGCCCTACAAAACGTCGCCGTTTTATTACTAGTTTAAATAATATCGAGGGATATACAGTATATATCATCCATTTAAATATTCATAATTTGTCTAAAATAAATCTAATTTTTAAAGCCTTCTGCGGCAAGGTTACAAAATACAATAACTTCGACGAACGACAAAATATAGATAAAAAAAACTAATGATAATATAATAAGAAAATATTATAAGAAATATAAAATAGAACTAAAAGGACTATCAGACCATCATAATTCAGACTAAATAACAATTGATTGTTAAAAACAAAGATGTAAATGTATACCTATTATTGAAAGTATTGTGGTAATTGTGTCCCCCCCACTCATTAACGCAATCACTATTTCTTTAAAACCCCAACCTCCCGAAATTCCTGATACAGGATTTTTTTGTAGAAATATTTCAGATGATGCTATTGTCATTATTATCATTGGTAAAAGAAATATTAAGATGCAACATTTAAATGCAAATTTCTTACTATCATTTTTATCATCATCTTCCTCAAATTCATCATCCTCAAATAATAAAATTAAATCATAAAAAAATAAAATACTAAACAGCACTAAGTTTATACAATGACATGCTAATATAAAATCTCGCACCCAACCAGTTGGGTCTAGAGGAATAACTAGCAAAAAAACTCTCACATTACTACCGCACACTTGATTGCTTAAATTCCATTTAATCGTTGTCCATATCCATATGCTATAACATGTCATCATCAAGATAACTAATGTAGCCAGCAATGCAATTGCTATAACTGGCTTTCTTTTAGGTAGAAGGAATAAACTAGAAATCGCGTAATATATCGTTCCTAATAATGCAGATGATAAATAAGTTACTTCTATTTGAAAGACATAATGTAAATTATTGTAAATATGTTGAAGTATAGCCGTTATGACTAATACTGAAGATGTTACTAATCCGAAAAGAACTGATATAAAAACTATCCATTGCTTTTTTACAAATAATTTAAAAGCCATTGTTAAACATTGTGCGTATATTGCTACTCTAATTTTTGGTCCCACTATGTCACCACCTTCAATTATGCAATTTTGTCCGCGTGGCATAAATGAATCAACCCATTTGTATTGATTGTTAGAGATGTCAAGGATGCTTACTGTATTAATAAAATTTGCACCAACTATGCCTGAACAAATGTAACTCCAGTTAGTATGTTATTTAAAGTTTAATATGATACAATTGCAAAATTAAAAATTAAGCAAATTATCGTTTTTACCAAACGCAAAAAATATATAATCATCATAAAGAGCGGCTGTATGTGAATTTGGGTATTGTATTGGTGGATTACCGGAAGGAAAAACGGAAGTCCACACATAATTTGTGATATTCAAGACAGCAATACCATTAGTCGCATTTGTATTATTTGATACACCACCAAATATTATTATACTTTTGCCATCGGTTGCAAGAGTGGCAGTATGAGACCATCGGGCGAGAATTGTTGCTTTCTGTAAAGGAAAATTTTAATAATTGAATCTTTATTAAAAGGTAAATTAATATATGATAAAATTTACCTGCCGTGACCATTGACTAGCTATTGTATCATAAATATCGAGCTTTGGAAGCATTTCTCATTAAATTGGTTTAACTTGTGTAGATATTATTTTAACTATATCCAAATTACTTACTTGTGAAATATCAGGATTAAAGATACCACCAATCATAACTATTCGTCCATCAGGCAATAATGTCGCCGTGTTTTTTTGCCGACCAATAGGTTGAGTAGGCAAAGTTTTGGAAACCCAGGAATAGTTTGTAACATCAAGTATATACATTGTTCCATCGCTTGTCTGATAATCTGGTCTTTAAATTTTGGTCAATTTTAGGATTACTCATATGTGAAATATCGCACAAAATGATACGTACCTTGAACTTTGGGTACCACCCCAAACATACATCTTCGCTTTAGAATCAATAACGGCAGTCATCCATTTTCTTGGAGTTGGCCACGAATTAGCGTTCTGATCATTCGCACTTAAAATGGTTCTAACAGATGGACTAGATGACGTTTCATCAATAATCATAAGATCATTTATGTTTCTTGACTTTATAAAAAGATACAAAATTTGCGAATTTTAATACGGATTTTGTTTTAAAAATTCTCTTATAAAATTCTAATATGTATTTTTACCAGATTGTAACCGCCAAAAATAACTATCAGGCTTTTATAAACAACTGCACTATATCCTCCTCTCTGCTCAAGGTTAGTTTGTAATGTAAATGGTAGATTAGAGGCATTATTAAAAGGGTTGGATATATCGACATAAAAAATATCGTACAAGATTGATGAATCCCATCCACCATAATAATATATTTTATTTGACATTATTACGGCACCCGTATCAGTTCTCCCGACAGGATTGTAACATACAGCACATTTAGTGAACAATATCAAAAATAAAATAATCGAAATAACAGAGAAATTCATTTTGACGTTTTTTGATGTTTGTTCAACTGCATTTTATAAATGAGTGAACATCTTATTCCTGGTATTTATTCCCTTGTTATCTCAATATTTCTGTATTTTCGAGTTATGTACTGTACGACCATAAACAAAATATTAATACATGAATGTTTTAAGAAATTTAATAATGTTTAATGATGTTCAGAGATTCAGTAGAATAATATTCTTGATATTACTAATTTTGTGTATGTATTTTATTAAATTGATTTATTTCACGCTAAAATAAAGAGCAGTTTCAATTTAAAAGTCAATTCACAAGCACTTTTAGAATAATTTTATTAATTCGGATTAACGCGCCAAGCACCGATTTCTTCATGATTAAAAAATTAGATTTTACCTTTTTCTTTATTTAATATTTTGTATTTAAAGAGCTCTTTTTGACTTTAATAAAAGTTCCTCAGACTTCGATGTCATGAATATAAGAAAGATATTAGGAATCGGATTCTCAAAGTTGTTAAAATTGAAAGTTTATTGAATCGTTAATTTCTTTTATTATTTTATTTTTGTTGATAATCGTTCTACATCGATACATAATCTGACCCCGAATAATTATACATATAAACTAAACCCCCGTACTCCGATTTATTACATTGATTAACAAATCCTTAATATATCACTAACGTCATCATTAAAGATATCATCGTAAAATTAATTGAGTTAATCACCCGATAACCCCGATTTAATTAAAACCATAACTCCACGTGAATATAATCGATATAAAACGACCAAGATTATATAGAATCCGGTTATAATACCCACACCCAAGTTAACTATTGGAGCTAAACCCGGCACTATTTTTATAACGCTCTCCCAAAACAATAGTAACACTATAAAC